ATATGTCTCATGTAGGATATGATACTGTCCCTAGAACAACATGGGATATTTCTTCCTGGCGCTTTGAGTTTTGGCTAAAGCAGCAGATGTGATATCTGAGAGAAGCCTTTGGTTCTTCTTAAACCTGCTCATGTTGTGTAGGTGTGACACATTTAATAAAGTAACGACTGTCATACAAAAAAAAAAGGGGGGGGGGATTGTAGAAATGACTCCCACTGTCCTTGGAGTGGATACTTCTTGTATTATGTTCAAGATTTCTGTTCCCACTACACAGAGCCTATAGTTCTAAAAGAGTAGTAAGAGCAAAATAAGGTAACCTAGGTTAAAAGTTGGTGAAGTTGTTTCTGTGACATGTAGGAGCATTGAATTGAATCCAATATGGGATAATTATAGTGGGAATGAGATGACATTCTTGATTAGAGGGAACGAAGGGCAGGAGGTAGACAGAAGTAAGAGGTAATAAATCAGGGCAGTTTCAAGTAGAGCAGAGTAAAAGGCATGGCATATAATATAGGAAATGCATAAAATCAGGTGTCCAGCATTGACAACCATTAATCTGGAAGCCAAATCTTGAGGTGGAATTTCTCTTAGGCCTTTCTAGAAGTACACTTAACTAGCTCTATTTCTGTGCAAGCAGACACAGCTTGTGTGTCCGCCCTCCAAGAGGGGCCATAGGAAGAATTAGTAAAGCATGTGATTACCTTTCTCCATCCCGATTCTTCTTCATAATGCCAATGACTTGGGTAGGAGTCTTTTCATAGCCTTGAGAACTTGAAACAGAAGAAGTGATATACTACATGAGCAGAACTAAGGCAAACGAGCCCGTTTGCCTCGTGTAATTGGTGCTTACATGGAGTTCATTTCAGCTCTTCTTGCATCATTTGAATGAGAAAAAAATAGATTTCACAAAAATAATCCAGTATTATTTTGTATTATTGTTTTCAATAATGCACTAAGGTTGATCTACTAACCTGTTGTTAAAACTCTGTACATACTGAATTCATTTAATGCATCATAATGTTCAAAGAACTTGCAAAAAGTATCTGCAGTAGGTTAATAGAATAATTACATGTTTAAATGGAGCTGTGTCTAAAGTAGCAGTGATCAGGGTCTGTGACATTTTAAAAAAAAAAAAAAAAGAAATCTCATATAGGCACCAAACACTAGAGAATTATGCTATAGGATTCATTATATTATGATATACATAGCCTAAATAGAAAAGGTGTATCTATTCAACTCAGGTTCAGCACTTCTTAAAGTCTTTTCAGCCTAATTCAAAGGCTGCTGGTACAAAAATACTTTTGTTTCCTGTGCTGCAAAGCAGGGTACAATTGCCTCACGATAACTCTTACTATATAATATATACTAATGCATAAATATAAAGAGTACTGCCAATATTTCAAAAAAAAAAAAAAGGCTTACTGCCTGTGACAGAATTAACCTAGCTTGCAATTGGTTCCTTGAAGCTGAAAATAAAACAATTCCTAATAGCTGCCTGGTTATGTATTTTTTCTTTCATGCAGAATTTAGGAATGGATAGAATAAGGATTTGGACATTATCTTCAAGTAATGGAAATGCAGTTACTGTTGTTATTTTCTCATACCTAAATATAGTCTTTCTCTAAAAAGATAGTTTCTAGTGCAGAATTTGAGATGTGTAACAATTTTCCAAGGTTTTCCAACAGTCGAATTCTAGCATCTAATTCAGTTGTACTCGTAAATAAGTATCTACATTTTTTTCATATTTTTGATTTTTTTTTTTTTTTTGAATGGGAATTCACTCAGCAGTGGCATGGGCATTACATTGATGTGACTTTCTGTTTCAATGGGTCCTTTAAATTTCAGGTAGAAATAATTACTGCATCAGTCCTCTTTATCCAAACTGTTCTGCTTTTCAGTTCCTATATCCCACTGTAAAACCCTGAAAGCAGCTTTTTGAAGTATTATAAAGATACCAAATCAGCAGTTCTGAAACTTTTCTCATTGCAAGTCTTATATCTGTCAGGGTCGTGACCTCAATATAAAGACCAACAACTGCATTTTTGTAGCTCTTCCCCATCACCCTCAACTGCCACAATCCCTAATTCCGGGAACTGATTTTTGTCGACTGTACAAAATGGTGCCAGCAAAGACTTGCCACTTTGTCTTCAGAGGAAAGAAAAAAGTATTTTTAAAAACTTTTTCTGTGTATTGGATTCTGTGCATTGGGAGATGTTAAGGTAAGATATTGTTTGGCATAGTTTGGATACAATAAGAATCTGTTAACTCCATATTTTGGCACATGAGATCTCTCACTCCTGCTAGGAGCTGCTTCATCTAATCTGCAAATTGTAGTCCCGTCCCTTTTGCTTGCAAGCTCAACTAATGGAAATTATGCAGGAATATACAGCGTTGAGCATTTTCAGGGATTTCATGTGGTATTTAACATATTTAGATACATATTTCTCTGAATATTGTTTTTTAAAATTGTTTTTCTTCTTCTTTTTAATTCTTAATGACAATTTATCTTGTAAGAAAAGAAAACAGTGTCTTATTTTCTTAAAGAAGCTTAAAGACACAATAGGCAAGATGTCAGAAATTATTAGTCAAATTTAAGTTCTACCCTGAAGTGAAGATTTGCTCCAGGCATGGTAAAGCTCATCTGCAGCAGTGCCTGTTAAGGCTCCCGCTCCAGGTACGTCATCTGAAACCTGAATTGCTGCTGACATGCGGAGAGGCAGCTGCGTTCCTGGGCATAAGCAGCCTCAGCATTTTATAAGCCACAAACTGACGCGAGAATCGGTAGTTCCATCCTGACAAGCTCTGCAAGGCACCAGCCCTTCCAGGCCCTTCGCTGTTGCCCAAACTGGACCCTTCTGTGGAAAGAAAACACACACATTATTCTTTACTATATTCTTCAATATGTTAGTTTCTTCTATCTGTGTGCACGTACATATGTCTTAGAACTCTCTTGACAGGATTACTACTTCTTGGAAGTACTTTTTCCCAATGAAAGTTTTCCTGGTTCTGATAAAATAAAAATACAGCACAACTACTTTCTAAACTACATATGGAAAGCGTGCGTCACCATCTTTTTTTTTTTTTTCCTCCCACTACTTTCAATATAAATCCAGTTGTTTCTTCAATTTATGTTCATTTATAAGGGTTTTTACTTGTTTTTAGTTTGTGGCTTGTAATTCCGTATATTCCTGGCTGTATTTTGAAGAATTCTAATGCCAGTTGTAAGTTGTTCCGTATTTTCTACTTGTGACTTTCAGGTACAGAGATTTGTTTATTCACCATCAGGTTTTTGTGTGTGCCAGCGTGCCAGCTATGGATCTCAGTCATTCCTTCCTGAACTTTGTCAGGTTGTAGTAACAGGATTTTTAAATAAAGATTGAAAATGTGTTTGTATGGATAAAGTCTTTATTCAAGAAAAAGATTTTTTTTGTTTGCTTGCTTGCTTTTCAAATAGTTTTGCAAATATTGTGATCTCTGTTCTGTTGACTTTTGTGGAAATAGGCAACATGTCATGTAAAGAAGATATAAAGAAGTATACAAGTCAGCTGCTGTTTTTCATTTTTTAGATAGGTGGTACATAGAGCCCCTGGCTATTTTTCAAAAGTTCAGCGTTAAGGTACATCTCTTCTGGCATGATTTTTGTTTGTACTGTGCCATGTGGGTATATACAAAAAGCCCAAGAAAAACACTTTTATAGGTTGTGACTTAGTCACATTTAAATTTAAATTGTTCCTCCAAAACTGCCCAGATTTCACTGGTTTGTATGTACGGGCCTCACTCAGTACATAACCAAATTAGTCTTTCCAAGGAACTGGGTCAGGCTGTCATACCAAATGAGTACCCGAGAGGAAAATTTCTGGCAGCTCAATAGGCATTTCTTTCTGTAATGTGTAGATATGAAAACTTTCATTCAGTGGCCTTGGGACAGCCCTCCATCTGCTAGAGTTTTTGTGGCATGAAAATTCACAGCTCTTTGCACTTCACATTCTTTGTTTAGATGCATAAATGAGTGTGACAGATGCTTTTTGGCAATATTTTTGGGGCCCTTCCTGATTTACCCATGTTAAAATTTGGGAGTTCCTACCCCTCTCTCCATTCCAAATTTGCTCAGTTTTTACTTGTTAAAACTGGACCTGAAAAACTTGCCAATGTCAGTTTGATAACCTGACATTTTTTACAGTTAGTTCAGTCAGCACTTGTAAATGACTGTAGATGTATAATGCAACTGTAAATGACATATACGATACAAATATTAAAATACAGAGGCAAATAGGGGAGCATTTTTGTTTTGACAGTGGAGAATAAAGTGAGAGAATAGTTTGCCTATTTCTTCGGGCCCTTTTCACACTACAATAGAGAAAAATAATTAAACTGAAAAGACTTTAACTCTTTTTTTTTTTTCCCGTGGACGTCCTTAAGCTTTGGCATTATATTATGTCAGTGTGTTTTCCCTAAAAGAGTACGTGGAAAGACAGTGTGTGGCCTGGTGAGGGGTTTGGGCTGGGGGCTGCGGAAGCCATTGCCGCCTTCAGGTAATGACCTCGCCTCAGCGCGAGGTGAAGGGCCGCTTGGCCTACACCGGCCCTACAAGAAAAAATGTGTTGAACAGTAACCCCTAAGTGTGATGGGGACCATTCTATTTGTTTTAAGTGCACAGTGCATTCTGTAAACATATATACTTTAAAAAGTGCACTGTGTGCTACTGTTTCTTCCTGCAAGTCCCTCTGTTACACCCCTTTTTACCTACTGTATTAAGCGGGCATTTTCTCGCTTGTGTAGCAGAAGTTAATTGAGTGGCATTATCAAAGTGTGCTGTCATTACTGATGTGATTAATTCCAATTAAATCGATTTCTAAAAGCAGCTGCATCTGTTTTAACTGTGCTGAAAGGCAGGCGCTGGGGGTGAGGGACGGGGCCGAGCGTAGCCCGCGTTGGGAAGGCTGCGTGGGTATGGACGGCTACTGAGCCGTGCGGGAGGGGGCCTTGCTGCCTCCAACCTGCAGGCCTGCATGGGCAGAGTCTTGGGCCACTTCTCCAGCCTCCTGCTGCGGGAATAAGGAGGCTACTGGATCAGGCAGGGAGTTGTTGCTTTGGGCACAGATTGTTCGTGTCGTTGCTTTCGATTGTGCCTCTGAACTAGGCACGTACAATGGCTGTAATTTCATCTTTGGGCTCTGGAACAGTTCGGATAGTAGCAGGAACCTGCAGGAAGAGCTCTGGTACTTGAGGAAGTGCTTGTGGAAAAATGTGGCCATTGCAGGAGAGACTGCTGCTGCCTCATGCTCCTGGTTCACAGCTTAGTTATATAATGGGAGGCATGGAGTAATCTGTGGCACTCTGTTCACAGAGAGGGCTGTTGACTGTATTTTTTGCAACAAAGCCGCTATTGTTAGCTGTATTTCTTCAACCAAGCAATTACAAGGTTTTACACTCCCTTCTGTCTATGGGGTTAGTCAGATGCTTCATGGGTATGAGTGTAAATAGTCAAGATTGCTTCCAGTGGCTAAGAGTGTTCTTTAGTATATGGAAAACCGAGCTGCATTTTTTTTCCTGAAAAAAAATACATTTTTGCCTTTTGTAAGACTAGTTATAAATTTTACTTTTAAAACTTGAGGCTGTTTCAGTTTTTACCAATTAACAAACTGGAGGGAGCTAGTGAATTACTGCTAGGAATTTGGAGCCTTGCCATTTTTACCAATAAAACAGAATTTCTGCATGCATTAGTGTTACTGATTTATCATGTTTCAGTACACTAGAAAAGAAGCTGTAAAGTCCCTAACATTTTGAAGTTTTTCATTGTATCCTCTTGCAGGACAGTAGCAGCATTATTATCTCAGTGCTAGCCAGCAATGTTCAACTTAACTTCTTTTTACTTCTTAAGACAACATCTGGGGAAGATGTACGGGACTTTACCAAGGTGCTGAAGAACAAGTTCCGGTCAAAGAAGTATTTTGCAAAGCATCCTCGACTTGGCTACTTACCTGTGCAAACGGTTCTGGAGGGTGACAACCTGGAAACGTAAGCTTGATTATAAAATAATCCCTGCTGGGGCCACTGGCATTTTTCATTACCCAAGAAATAATCAAAAGCAGTTGTAGAGCCTTGTGCTGGATTGTTTTCCATGAATATTGGATGATCTTGCTCGTTTTGTGAAAGTACCATACTTTATGCTTTGATTTTGATAGGCCATGAATATTAGCAGGTAAAAATATTGAAGGTAGGGTTAACAGCTGTTTTACGAAGAACCTTTTTATAACATTGAGGAAACCAGGTGTTTGGAACCACATTGCTTATTTGGTCTCCGAGTTCCTCTCTTCTCTCTTTAATGACTTTGGAATCAGCTGCCCTATTTCAAATGCATTGGAGTGGAGATCTCCAAGATAATTTGGCTCCTGCAAACTTCAGAAATCTAGGGGGTTTGATAAGAGAGTTCTATGAGTGTCTCCATGCTATTTATGGTGCCAGCAGAAATACTTTGCTTTATTTATTTACTTTCTTGTCAGCTGTCATCAAAGGACACTCTTAAAAGAATCAAATTAAGATATGGTGACAGAGCAGTAGAAGTAGCTCAGTTGACTGACTCTCCTTGACATCCTGGAGTCTGCGCTGCTCCAGTGCAGCCTAAACAATGTGCCACCTAAAGTTAGCAGCAACATCAAATATAAAGCTTCATATAGTAGACCTCTGCCATTGCCTATGCTCTGCTTTCCTGACCAGAAGTTTGTACATCTTATTTACAGTAAATAAACCCTGCTTGTTCTTGGCTTAAGAAGCAGGATGAAGGAACCTGACTTGTGGCCTGAATTCTCAGCAAGGATTTGAATTGGAACACACAAAATGTTACCAGAGCAGTCTTAAACTGGTCTATAGTTATAAACAAACAATCAAAAAATGTCAGGAACAAAGGAACTTAAAGGTGCTTTGATGTGATGACAAGTTGTCAACAACACCAGAACTGGAATGTCAAAACTGTAAACACAGGTCAGGAGAAAAACTCTCTTGGTCCAGGCATGTGGGAAATACACAGATAAACTGCCAGCATCATGTTGAGAAAATTTGGTGTTCATTCTGTCGTCTACAGGTGACCAAAAAAACATATTTTCCTTAAAAACAAACAAACAAAAAAACACTTGAGTAGAATTTAAGCAATCTCATCATGATTTAAAAATCAGAGTTCAATCAATAACACTTCCTGCTACTTTTAACAATTTGATTTTTATTTAACAAACTAAGGCACATAAGTCAGTCTTTGTAGGCTGTAGTATCTGTTGCTGTCTCTTTCTATGTCAGTTGCTAGTATAAATGATGCGAGTGGGATGCTGCTTAAAATAATGTGTGTGTTTTTCTCATTTTTCTCTTAAATGGCACTAAAGAATTTTTCTTTCTTTTTTTATTCTTCTTTGCAGTCCCATCACTCTCATCAGTATGTGGCCAGAGCAATATGAGTGAGTATGCAAAACCTCTCTGTCTGAAAAGCTCAGAATGCTAGTTGTTTTCTTTAAGCTGAGGAGCTTCTAATCTGACATGTATAAGTTATAGGCTATGGTGTACCAAAAAGCCCAAAGGAACCACCCCTTTCAACAGTATTGTGAATTTAATTTGTTAATTTGGCAGCAGTGTAACTTATGTTTTAAATAACCTTGATATTTTTGGATTGCTTAGACACTATTAATTTTTGTTTTGTTGTTCTGTTTTAACTAGTCCTTCCCAGTCTCCACAGCTTTTTCATGATGACACACACACCAGGATAGAGCAGTATGCTACAAGGTAAGAAATGCACAAACTGCTTCTTATGCTATACCACATGTTGTGATAGATTCCTGCTGATTTTTAATATACTCCACTGGCTGTACATTATTTATTAAAAAATATATATCTTTATACTCAGAAGCAAGTCAACTGTTTGTAAATCAGCTTCTTCTGAATACAGCATATTAAACTTTTAAATAGATGCATTAAATCTGTCATCTGTCCTACAGAATAGGAACTGTTGCAGAAATACTGTATGTTATTTCTAAACAGTACCATTTTCCTTTGGCTTTCTTGTTTTTAACCTTCGGAAATGCACACAACTTGCTGGATATATAACTTTTCCCAGTAGGATTTTAGATCCAGGTTTTCATTTTATTTTCTAAAACGGTTATCCACTGTCGCTGACTTTTAGCAGAGGATATAACAACTACAAATGTTCTGCCTTTCATGGGGTCACTGCAAACCTTCTTTTTAGCATAAAATGCCTGTAGTGCTAAGACTATCTCAATGCCTCCGTTTTTTATGGAACTCTTTCTGTCCTCTCAGAACCTGGTGATGGTTAGCAGTAACTAAAGTTGCCTCTTAAGAATAAGTAGCTACTTTATGAATAACTACTTTTAACTGGGAAACTGGTTCTTATTACCATGGGAACTGGCCTGTTTTTGCTTTGGATGAGTTTGCAGTTGTAAATAATCTCTGCAAGTTGTGTTTATTAATGCTAACTGTTTGCTACTGCATTCTTGGGCACCATAAAGCAAATTCTCAAATCATTTGTTAGATACCCAGTTTACCCAACACATACCAGTTGCAGCAAGGAGAAAAAGAGCATAAACTAATGCCAAAGGGCTGCCTATTGTCATTGCCGACTTCCTTGTTTTGTTCCACAATGAATTATTTAATTCTTTTTAGTAATTTGTTGAAGGCAAGCTTGTACTGTTTGTCAGTTGTTTGGAACATGCCATTCATAAAAATCTGATGTCACTAGTACAATTTTTGAATATAAAATTTAGGCCATGTTGTAATCAATTACCACCTGGACTATAAATTAGGCAAAAGCAAGGAACTCGGACTTCACTAGAAAGCTGTCTGATCTTTTTTGTCCTCCCCTTCCCCATCTTTCTTTTTCTGAGCCTGTGATACTCCCATGCCACGGTTTACTGTGTCAAGGTAAAGTTCAAGCTCTGGACTCTCTTAGGGGTTAACAAGAGCTCCTGGTGAAATACTTGCTTTCCTCTTCACCTTCAGCTCTTACCAATTCTGCTCACAGTCAGGCTTGCTGAAGGTGGGCCATGCATTGCTCACACAGGTTTCTTTCAGAATACAAATCCAAATCTGTAGCTGTATGTAGAAGTTGGTTAGGAAGCCAGAAACATCCACTTAAAAATACTGATTACTGTATAAGTAAGCTATCTAAAATTAGTCAAAATCTTTTTCTTATCCCCTCTAGTAATACAGCTTAGGTCATGCAGTATCTATCATCTTATAGTCAAAATCTTTTTCTTATCCCCTCTGGTAATACAGCTAGGTCATGCAGTATCTATCATCTTTTTTATTGTGTGCTTTCTGTTTGGATCTAGTTGGATTTGCTATGCCAAGTGAATCTTCAACATGTGCTGGACCCTGAAAAGATACTGCTGGTAACAGAGCACATGTTTGAGAGATGGAGTATCTATTACTCGCTCACTAAGAGATTTGGGGCAAATTCCCCAAATTTCTGTGCATCAGCACGGAGCAGTGCAGCCAGTGGCCATGGTGGCACGAGGAGGACAGTGGCATCCTGTGTTGAACCTCTTGTCCTCCTTCACGTTGGAGGAGCACTAACAAATGTACCCATGGGAAAGCCTGCTGTGTGAAAAAAGAATACACCAGAGCGTTACCGTTATGTGGGGACTTGCCCACTGCTTACAAAATAGGTTTGCAAGTGTCTTTAATAATGTTTAGTGCACTTGCACAAATACATGTGAAATTAAGATACCTTATTAGTAAGGTAACAAATAAAGGAAATGCATGATCTCTATTCAGACTAGTTTAATATTTGGATGGCATTGAGTGTTCCTAGATTTAACTTCAGGGAATTACTATAATCATACTGTTTTAGGGTGATTTTCCAGGACATGTCTGTCCACAGTTGATGTTATTTGCCAAGCATAATTTTAGATGTTGCACGCGCTATATTTAAAAAGTATTTATCCTCTTTTGTTAGTCCAGCTTTATAAAATTCAAAGAAGAAAACCATCTGTGAAAACATCTCTTTAACTAATTTTGCCATGAGAGTTGTGGTGGTGCTAATGATAATTATACTAGATATAGAAAATATATTTGTTCCCTGCTGCTTGGCAAGTAGAATTAGTTAATCACAGCACAACTTTCTCATAAAACCCCTCTGTATTATAAGTTCTTGTTGCAAGTCTAGGAGTTTATTTCTAGCCTGATTAGGCAACATGGCCATATCTGAGTGATTTCTAAGAAGCACTAATCTTCACAGAGATGTATTTAAATTGTGCAGTGCAGTTTCTGAGTCATGTCTTTCCCTGTCTTTCAGACTGGCCCAGATGGAAAGGACCAATGGCTCCTTCCTCACAGACAGCAGCTCCACCACGGGAAGTGTGTAAGTACCTCATCAAGTTTGCAAGGAAAGATGGATATACTTGGATACAGCTGCATGACACCATCTTTATGAACTGTAACACAAATTACAGTCCCAGTGAAAGCAGCTACTAAGTATGGCAGCAAGAATGTCTGCATAAATTTCATTCTTACAAGCATTAATTAAATATATTAGTGATGTTTATTTGTTGAATAAGTTACTTAGCGACATAAGGAAACTTTTGTTTTGTTTGTCAGAAATGAGAACATTTCATGCGACTGGAAAAAAGGTCACAGCTTTATAGGCTCTAATTTATATTGCTGTTCTGCGCTTACCATGCTATAAAATGTAGAGGTGGGCAATGGAGTGTGCCTGTAGCTTGTTTTAACCTCCAGGAATATTTTCTCATGAAAAACAACAAAAAGTATTCCATATTAGAGATGTTATGCAGATCCAGAACTATGTTATTGCTTTTTCTTGCTTAGATTTCAATGTATTGGCTGTTGATCCATCTTTTATACTTGGGGACATAAACGTAGCCTTTTATTAATTTTATCAAGACTACTTTGTGTTTTGGAATTATACGACAGTTTTACGGTAAAAGACTTTAAAAAAATGTGTAGCCGAACCAGGTAAAACGTAAAAACCCTGTGAAATACTAATAAATTTAATGTGTTTTTTTATGTTAAGATACATTAATGTTTCCACCTCATTGTATTATCAGTTCAGCTAATTAAAGCAGTGTAGTAGGACAGTGCCTCTTTTAGGTTATTAAAGAATGCCATCCTATTACGAAGGGAACAGAATTTGTTGTTGTTCAGTTCTGGTTAGTTAGAATAGGCTGCTCTTCTTAGTAATGCCTTTGTTTACTGTTTTAAAACCTAATTGTGAAATCATTTTTCCAAAGAATTTTTTCTAGCAGTTTGAGATATAAATACTATATTTCCAAGTAGTAGCCAAGTGCAAAAAGAGTCGTGTACACTTAGTTTTTATTGACAATTCATCTGAGGGTTTTAATGCCATTTTTATTCTCCTCCATTAAAATAACCTCTCCTTTAGGAAAAGGAACAAACTTGGTGGATTTGGGTACAGTTATAATGGAGAGACACTGGGTCTCAGCCCTTTTGCCAAATGGAGACTGTTGCATAAACAAAACATGCATAGCTTCAGAGGTCAAGGAAGGCAAGGAAGCTTTGTGGGTTTTTTGTTTTGTTTTGACCATGTGGCACCTTCATTATTTGCGGATAATACTAAACTTTCATCAGGTGCATGCTAAAGTACCCACAAAATTCTCAAGAACTGTAATATAAAAGTTTGGACTTGAACTACTGCAGGAAGTGATCTGTGAAATCTCAATCCCAGGCAGGGTCATAAATTTCTTATAGCTGAAAGCCTGGGTATCTAGAATTAAAGTTCACCAGCATTTTTAATGGTTAAATACAGTTTGACATAAAAATGTATATTGCAATTATTCTATGTAGACTGAATCAGAAGGGGCAATTTGAAAGTTGAATCCATTTTTTTTCAGCTCAAGTATATATGCTATAAACATACCTGAGCAAAATCTCATTTTCTTGTGTCCTTCTTTTGAACCTTCAGGGTATGATTACTGTTTTGGAAATCAAATTCTCTGCTTCTCATAATCAGAATTTTATTCTGAGATCTTATTTTTATCAGTCCACAAGAGTTCTTCAGTTTACTGCAAGCTGTAATAGAGGCAAAATTGCACTTGATATTGGAGTATAACCATTTTTGCCTTGTCAATTAATTGTTAATATACTTCAATTGTTAATATACTTCATGCTCTAAAGGGCTTGCATAAGAAGCCTTCTACATTTGAATGTCACAAAAACTTCTGCCTTCAGTTAAACATCACAAGTTATTTCACAAATGTTTTAGAATATGTAATTTGAATAGGAAAACATTCTTCAAAGAAATCTCTCCTTTTTTTTTTCACTTAGCCTGTTTTCTTGAACTTCATTATCACTTCCTCTAATTTAATTCTTCTAAACTCCCCAAAAGTTTGTGTATGCCATTAAACTATGTTTTTCCCCAATTGAAAAAATATTTGTGCGTAACAAAAAATCAGTGTGCTACAGTGTGTCCAGATTTCCAAGTAAATATCGAAATGCTTCCATGAATGTGTTTTCTAATATAAAGGCGTTGAAGGAAATTGTATTTCCTTCATCTCATCTTTGCTGTACATTACCGAGTCCCAAATGCTTAGGCTAGACTGCCGTGGTGAATTTTCTTTGGCTTTGTTTCATGCAAAAATGCATCAAGGTCCTAAAAGCAGACTTTTCACAAGTGAAAGTGAACATAAGGGAAAACAGAAGAGTTAGCAACAGAGAATGATAAGTAGCAATTCTAACAGAAAGCCTGGCGTCACCATTTGACAAATCATGATACAGCAGCGTGAGAAGCAAAAAGCAGTGTTAAGGAAATTGGACAAGAACCTAGCTCTGTTATTCCTGCAATATACAAACTATCCTGTGCATACTAAAGTTAGGTGCCTTGTGCATAGTATATGTGATTTCTGTGTGCATGTGGATGTTAAATAGCATTTTCTGATTAAGCCCCCTTATTCCTGGCGCTCTTCCTGTCTGCAGCGTGTGGCGGCGTTTGGCGCTCTGCTGAGGGGAGAAGTCCTGTCGTGAGGGAGGCCGCGCGCGGGGGACGGAGGGGCGGCACGGGGCAGCAGGACGCGCGGCCGGCACCGCCACGCAGCGTCGCGAGGGGAGTCCCAGGGCCACACGCGGGGGACGAAGGTTTTTTTTGAGCCCCAGGGCTGCGTGCTGGGGACGAAGGGGCAGCAGGACGCGCGGCCGGCACCGCCACGCACAGCGTCGCGAGGGGAGTCCCAGGGCATAGCAGCTGAGTGTACGGGCATGCCTTGTGGTGAACCTTCTTGTCACAGTGAGAAGGTAACTGCAGATGAAAGTAAGATCTGGGTCAGAATGGGTACGTTAAAGAGGATGGGAGAATTTTGGATACTTTTAAATGAACACTTTTTTGAGACCTTATTCTAGTATTTCTCACAGCATCGTCAGGTCAAGATATAATTTCTTTGGGCTAGAACACATGGTGCTTGGCATTAGAGCTATAAGGAAAAAGTGCAAATGATGGAGAAAATGTAGTTACCACAAACTCATTTATCTTATTGTGCAAAATCTAGTGATCTGTTTTCTTAATCCTATCAAATGATACACTAGAATGAAGAGTGACTGGGAAGAAATGTGAATTTGTCTTCTTACAATTCAGGCTTGATGCTAGGAAAGCTGTGTGTAAATTCCTTCTGGCTCTTGCTCCCTCTCCCCCAGTGCTTAATGCATGTTTTTGAATAGGCCTCTTGAAAATATATATCCACAAAGAGAATAGGATATTTCAAATGCCATTTGCCATTGGTTGGTTTGTTTTCCTTTGAGGTATCCTTCTTTCAAGTCTGACCTTCTATGAATGTCATTTTTACAGCTTTCTAGCATGATGATAGGGCAAATGCTAAAAAGTAACTGCCGTGCCAGCCTGTGAAGGCTTCATCTGTGTAGTTCTAGGTTATTCTTAAAGCACAGGATGTTCAAGCGAATAACGAATGAGAAAGAACAATGAATTGATTTTGGTCTTCTGCCTTTATTTTGTTTGCTGACTGTCATCTGCCACTAGTTCTGGAGAGGGGAAAATTCCGGATTCCTAAAATGAAAATATTTGCATGTCAAGGAGTGTGTGTCATGTCCTTGTGCCGCAGTCATCATGAAGGTCTCTGCTGGGACTGCGGTGCTACTATTAGATCCATCTTAATTACAGTCGTGAGCTCTGTTAGTGCAGGTTCAAGGTTCTGGTCTTGAACGGATCATCTGGCAGGACAGACAAGTGGTGGTACACATGCTACAAAAAAATGACTTTATCAAGTTTCTCACTTTATCAGATGTTTCCCCTCTCATGTGTCAGAATGCTGTGAATTACAGGATGCGATGCCTAAAAAATGACCAGTCAGTATTTGTTGTGTCTCTGCAGATTCTGAGACACTGCATCAGTAAAAGAGGAAGGGAATTAAATTTCTCAGGGTTGAATAACTGGGAGGAATTTGAAATATAAAATATTGAGAATCCTTCTTGAGCAATTTGTATTCACCTATTTGGGTGCTACCAACTGACCACAGAACAGTGAAAAGTATGTAAGCAGTTTTCGTATAAATGTTTTCTTTAAGGGCTATGTAAGCTTCATGAGTAAAAGAGGTTGCAACTGATGTAAAATTTTGACAGAATTTCATCTTTAAAAATGTCAAATAAATATAATAAATCCAGTTTTACAGAGCTATATTAAAAAATGCATTTCAGGTGACCTACATAGATGTTTATAAACTAATTCATCATCCTAATATACAGTGAGCAGCTTTTTGGTGCTTAATTAAAATAACCAGTCAAAACTACTTGAGCTTGTGAACCTTTCCCAACAGCATAACAGCCTTTGCACAAATGAAGCCTGTGTGTATAGTTGCAGTGTGTCATGTAAGTTAATATTTAAACAGTGTTTTGAAATGTACCTGATAAAACTGCATTCTCTCTTGGTAGTTTCTGTATTCACTGTAACGTGACATTAACCTGCAGCACTTCACTGCAGAGAAGACTCTCTCACTGAGACAATTCCATAAGAAACTTTAGAGGCCCAACTATATACCATGAATCCCTAATATTTGTTTACAGAGCTTCAGCCAAACCTTAATCATAAGTGGTGCTTGGTTTCATTAAGATGCCGAAAGGATAGAGAAGTACCTAGTTTTCATTTTTATGTCAGGACCAGATCCAAACTCCATTGACTGTGCTAGTCTGTGTTTCAGTTTTAACTAGACTAGGAAAATAACAAAGCAAGTGGTGATAAGTTTGCCTGAGATCATCTGGGAGGCAAGCAGTAGAAGCAAGCAGTAGAAAAGGGAAAGCCCACATAAGAGCTTCGGATAGACATTGAATTGTTATCTTCAGGTAGAAGTAAGTCAGTGTTATTCTAACATAGAGATTAGTTTCATTAAGAAGGTAAGGTAAAATCTGTATCTTATAAGTTGGTGGATATATTGGCTTGGTCTGGAATAGTGGTAGTGACTTCAAATGGGTGTTGATGTCGTTAGGTACCAAGAAATCTTAGTTCAACAGCAAGGGATAGGGTATTATACACACACAAACAGTATGTTTGCACAGCTCCTTTGTGTCTGTCATGTGCATTTGCTGAGATTTAACATTACTACTATGCGCTTTGAGAAGAGAAGACTCCCTTTATCTTAAGAGATACTGCTTCTGGGAAAAACAACTCCAAACCATGTGCTCAGCCTGTAATACATCATCAGAGCTGTTTTACTTACCTGTAATACACCTGAGCTGTTTTACTTTTAGATGCATTTATTTATACATTGCCATATCACTCCAAGGATCATTTTTGTGTTTTCCAGGGTATACATTTCTAAGTAACTGTTTTTACAAATTGTTCAAATGGGACTGTATATGTAGATATTTTATAATGTAAGATTTTTAACAAATAGAAAGAAAATAGAAAAGCCCCCTTGTAAAGCTCTAACACATTTCTATTTGAAAAATAAATATTTAATCTGCTGTCAGCTACTTATTTTTACTATGCCCTTTCAAAAGCACTCCTTAAGGATACTTTTCATTATCTCAAAGCAGAGTCAGTTGAACAGTAGAATGAGTAATCATTTCACTGGCATAGCAGGAAAAAGATTGGTGTAAGTAAGTCAGATATTTTTAATGCAGAATAGTCTGTTTCATGATTATTACTGTCTTTCTAGGTTTAAACTCCAAAAAGATGTATGTATGTTTTTCTAAGAAAAAAAGTCATTCTAAGCTTCCTAAGTGAGAAATTTCATATTTATGGAGTTCATCTTAACTCTATTGCAAGAGAGATATTTTCAATAAGTTATTTTAAAAGCCTCAGAAAGTCTCTCTCCTTTGAGAAAGCCGAGAATAGTCCTGTCAGCACCTTGCAAAAGTTTTAGCGTGATTTTGCAGGACAGATGTTAGCATTAAAATTTTTGTGAGATTACCATTCCAAGCAGTGATGTGAAAGTCGTTACTTCTTTTAAGCATCTAAACATTCAACTACATTCTAAGGATAATTGGCATTGGCTGATGTAAACAGATGAGTGTACCTTCAATAACAAATATGTTCTCTTTGTCCTCTATGATGACCTAGTCATCTAAAAAGTAGCCCAGCTGCATCACACTCACATAAGAAAACCTTTGAAACTTCCAGTTCTCTTCTTGTCATAAAGCCCTGTGAGCAGGAAAGACCTTTTGCTGTTATTTATCATGGATGCTCTCCTCCGAGATTAAATGAGGCACTTCCTTATCTCTTGTCCTACCTAATGGTTCCACTCCAGTTGAAACCTATCTGACAGTCTTTCCATGCCAGCTCTCCTCCCTTCTTCAATTGCTTTACTGCTCCTTCAGTATCCTATATGATATGTTCATTTATGTCTTGCTAATGAAGACACAAGAAGCGTCTCCAGTCTTCTACCTCTGGATGCTTGCCCTCTCTCTTGCCCAAGTGAATCTGAATACATGTGGGTATTCAGTTAATATGTTTTTCTTTTTGCTATTAATCATATTTTAACTGTAGAAGATTTTAGGATAAAGTTTCTGTGTGAAATGTCTCACTGTGTAGTAAAGCACATGACCTCTGTCTTGCAGTCAAGCGAACACAGGCATTTGGTGAAGAGTGTGTTCTACTTATTGCTAGGATTCAGCAATTTCTCTTTTAAAAGTGGTGTATAGTCTTTTTGTGTCTCATTTATCCTTTTCTGAGTAAGCAAGCAACTATTCTTAGGGCATGGTATCTTTTCCTATTCCTCTGACATTACTGTAGAAAAAAAAGGCAGTAAGTGGGAAAGAAGGGCAGGTATGAAAAAGTAAAATCATTTGGATGTTATAGCATAATTAAAAGTTTTAGGTCTTCTCTCTCCTAACCAGAATGGAATTTCTGTGCTAGTCAAAAGAAGGTCAATCCTAGGCTTTTTGTACCTGAGTGTGTGAAGAGGAAGATAACAGCTACCCTTGAAGAGTTTCAGGGTGTCACGTGAATCACCCAATTGTGGAAATATAAAACTAATTCAGAATCCATGTCGTGATCTTTGCAGCACCTTTGTGCAGCCCGTACTGATTTATCTAGATATTTGATGGTTCTTTACTACATCACGTTTTTGAGAGTTCTGTGAATTTTCTTTTAATCTTTAATTTTGAAGTAGATTGATCGCACCAAGATTGTCTCCTAAAGAATACTATAAGTTTAGGGGTATTTATAGTCAAAAAAAGATGCAGCTACTTTATCAAGTAGTTCATTTGGTTTTATTTATTTTTAATTCTCTTGAAGGTAATTATTTTTGGTTTAGATTGCTTGTTTTCACTCTTTCTTTTCTTGCCATCAGCCCTCTTTGATCTTTATGCATACATTAAAATAAACCATTCTTTTATACTGATACATTTTTTTACAGAAGTATGTTGAATGTTTTGTTTTTTGCAGTATATTTTTTAGAAATAAGTCAGAAAAGTTTTAATACAGTTTGCTGAGCCACGAGCATCTGACAGCTATACCTTTGATTCTTGCAGCCTTATTTGGTGCTGTAACCAAACAAAAAGCTCAGAGAATTCCCCTCAGCTGGGCAAGGGTGTTAGCTCACGTAATAATTGCATTACTGTCTTTTATGTTGTTTGCTGGCTCTAGAGAAGATGAACATGCCCTTATCCAGCAGTATTGCCAGACCCTGGGAGGGGAGTCACCCGTGAGCCAGCCGCAGAGTCCTGCGCAGATCCTCAAGTCGGTGGAGAAGGAGGAACGCGGAGAGCTGGAGCGCATCATCGCTGACCTGGAGGAAGAGCAAAGGTCTTGTCATCAGCTGCCTCCTGTCTGAATTGCCACCTTGCTGCCACTGTTTGTCGCTTGCATGTGTTGCACACAGTTCTTGTTGGAGAGGATGAGAAGACAGGCACTCAGGAGTCACAGTATCAGCTAAGAATCAATGAAATCAAGAGTTCGTAGTCTGCATCCTTGTTAGATGAAAGAGTGTGGGGCTGTCACAAAATATTTGAGTTTCACCTCTACTTTATTGTGTATGCTTTGTATTGTGGAGCTTTGTATCAGATGTGTGTGTCCTGTAGTTGGAGGTGAGAGCATTGTTTGAACTACGGAAGATTTTTATTTTAATTTGCTTGATTGTCATCACTCTTCTTCTCCTAATATACCAGGAGTCTGCAGATAGAATATGAGCAACTTAAGGAGCAACATCTTCGGAGAGGAATCAATCCTCTTGCATCACCCCCAGACTCTGTTGTGTCCCCTCAGCATGCTGCTGAGGATGCCGAGCTCATTGCTGAAGCTAAACTCCTAAGGCAACACAAAGGACGCCTGGAAGCAAGGATGCAAATATTGGAAGATCACAATAAACAACTGGAGTCCCAGCTTCACCGGCTACGGCAGCTGCTTGAGCAGGTAAATGGATCGTGGTGTCTTTCTCCAACATTGTTTTAGGTGATGGTGAATCAGAGGCATTGGGATTTTATTGCAGATGTTTTTTTTTCCCCAAATTATGCCGATCTACTGTACTCAGTCAGGATAAAGAGACTTTTTTTTTTCTTGCAATCTATTATATATGTGCTTATAAAGGTCAAAATGAAAGCAAAATAATTACAAGTGGTGGAGTAATCATGGTAATTTCTGAAGTGAATAACACAAAACAAGCAAGTGCAACAATCCTTTTACCTAAATTAAAGAGGAGGAGAAAGAGAATATATGCCTTTTCTTAAATAGTGCTGCAAGTCACACCCAGTATTTTACTTAAGCTCTCCAACCTTTCCTTAGAATGTCCTAGGTATTGCCAGGATTCCTAGACAGCAGGACCTTTCTGGGCATGCCAAAGATGGGGAGGCTTCTCTTGAGTAAGACAGCAAAATGGTCTACAAATAGTTCTACAAATAATCAAGTGCTGTGGACAGGAGACTCTTAGCAATATTCAGTAGCTAGAGATCCCTGGGTTTCTTTGTTGGAGAAGAAAGTGCTGAATGCAGAATATGCATATCTAGATTACAAAAGTGCCAGCAGCAACTTATACAAGGTATTGTCAGAGATGTTTATGCTGTATCCTCTGTGGAAGCTTGAATTATGAAGAACCTGTGAATCATTTCTCCTAAATAATTGGCAGAGTTTGATCAGAGTCCAGTGAGGCGAACGATCCCTGGCCTCCGTGTGCCAGGTGAATGGCCATGCTTCTTAGGGAATTTAACTAAGCTCAGAACAAGACCTCACAATACAGATATTGCAATGGCATAAATTCCTGGTGGCAATGAAGATTTTTTTTCTGTGGCTGGCTTTCTCATTTTTCTACATAGTCTTGACAGCACAGCATTAAAATGCCTCTCTTCCAGTGGCTTCCCTACCCCTCTAGCAGACTTTTTTTTTTGATGTTACTGTCATTATGGCATCTTTCATCAGTATTTGAGTAGCTTAAATATGTAAAAGAGAAGATAAGGACTGGTTCTAACTGCTAATCTCAATCGTTCATGAAGTGAATATCTCCATGACTGTGGCCACAACAAGGTATTTCAGAGAAAGGCTTGAAGTTTGCTGAAACAGTTGGGTACAGAAATGCAGAAGTTCTGCCAAACGCACGGTCTTTTTCAGAGTAATTCTTAAAGCATGGAAATTGTTCACCCTCTAAAACTTTGTTTTATTCTAGTGTAACTGTGAATAGTCTTATTAATCATATAATTGTGACACCCTTTTAGAACCTCATAATGTGCTTAGTGATGCCTTTAGGGTATCATGTGTATATTGTGCTAAAAAAAAAAAAAAAACTCCTTCTTAGCAGTTTTGCCTTTTGATTTTTATGGGCATTCTGGAGTTCTTGGTTTCTGTTAGAGTAAGGTAGAACAGAGTCTACCTTTTTTAGTACTTCTGACTTAAATCTGACTTGCTCTACTGTTGCTCTCCAAAATCCTCCTGCTCTGTGGGAGTCACGCTGTGTTTCTGATGGTTCTGAATGCCTGAGCCAAAGCCTTTCTGATTTCCCTGCTCCTGCTTTCAAGGAGGGACTGGAATTAAGTCCAGTATTGTAGAGGGTCTGCATTGTTGTTTTCATAGTATTTCTGGGATTTTCAGTATGCTTTTCTAAATGCATCTTTATTTTATTTGGGACTGGGGGCACGGTTTGTTTGCTTTTTACTGTGGCTAGGCAGATGTTTTGCAAGCTCTCTACCATGATGTCTAAGTTATTATTCTGGAGGATTCGCAGGAGGATTCAGAAATTGTGAATAATTCAGTTTTTCTGCATGCATTTTTCGGACACTCTTCAGCTGACACTCTTATGAAACAGCACTGAATCCCATTACTACCCCATTAACATTCGCCCATCGGGAAAAATGACCAATTTTTACGAATTTTCATTTCGTATCATCTAGGCCATTTATAATCTGTGAAGGTTTTTTCTTTTTTCACTGCCTTAATTATAGGACTTTATCTAAAGCCAACTGGGGATCTAAGCTTATTTGTTTACATTCTTTACCTTTATTGATTGCCCCAGTTATCCTTTCAGTGGATATAAGGAGTTCCTTTTCTCATGAAAGGAATTGGATGATTTGCATGGAAGATTCTTTTGAATCCCAATGTCAAAACATTTAACAACTGCGAAACTCCTCTATCAATAATTGCTGGTATTAAAGGATACAACTGCTCATAGCAATTTCTCTGCCATGACTGGCGTCTCATGTCATCTCTTCGTATTGACGCTTCTGTCAAGACCAAGTTTCTTCTTTTGCTTTTCCGTTCAGCCTCCTTGGTTGTTGCTTAGGTTAATAACTTGTCACTGAATCGGAAAGTACCAGCCTTCCTTTGTCCCTAAGAGATGTGGGATGAATCTGTCTACCCACTAACATTTAGGCAGAAGCTAAATGAAATTTAGAAGTTTCTCTGTCGTAACTGTTTGATCCGTATGAGCGAGACGTTCTCTAGGGAACGCAGTTATCAGAGATTCTTGTGCATCCGCACGTGCACATTTGCCTACTTCAGGTCATGATTCTGAGGTGACCATACTATTTTTAGTTTAGCAAGCCCAAAGGAATGGTAGCTGTCACACCAGTGTCTTTTTTGTCCTCTTGATTGATTGTAGTGCCAAAGAGGAAGGTGAAACAGAACGGACAGGCTTTGATACCAATATGTTAATCGTACAGAAAAAAAAAAAATCTATTTTCAATTTTCTTCCTAGAGCCCTGTTAAATATTACACATGCAAAATAAGAGTTATTGTGAAGGGCGTTTTAAGTATGTCTGGATTTTTTTCTGCTTGCTTGAGCTACTGAATAGTGGTGTCATATTGAATTTAAGATTGAAGTAAATCGAAGCTAATATCATATATCAATGGATATATCACACTGTAGGACAAGAGTAAATAGGGACTGCAGCTCCCTCTCCTGAAAGCAGAGGAGCTTTACCAAAAGAGTAGAACTCTGTTTGTCCTGTGCCTGGGAGAATAAGCTTGAAACAAGCAGAACCATCTGTAGTTTGCATGGAAAGGGAATTAGCTTTTGTTTTGGTTTGGTTTTTGAGATTCTCTGTGATTCAGAGATGTTTTCTCCTCGCAGAAGCAGAAGCGAATCGAGTGAATCACAGGTATGGTTTATGGTTATGAGGCCCACAAAACCATTCAAACTCTTCCTCGGGAAAGACACCGGCAAGAGGAGAACTCTGGTGCTAAAATACATGTTTAAGTAACTACTTGAAAATGCTTTAAAAATTGCTGTAGTACAGAAAAATGTTTCAAAGGTCACTGGGGAAGAACATCCCTGTCACTTCCTATCTTTATTTTTTCTTCAAAAGAGATAGGCCACTTTCCAGAAAGTGGCTTTGGAGAGTTCCCCTTTATCCTGCTAGAGGCATGATCTATCCCTCTGCTTATTCTGTTTATTTGGGGACAAATAATGTAAGTACCATTTAGGGCAGTTTTCGTATGGTTTCTGCCTAAACACTGTTTGTTGGGTTGTTTTGAATAAGAATGCCTGAACTTCATAGTGCCTGAAGGGCTTTGGTGGGAATGATTAGACATTGCAGGTGATTAGGTTTTGCAGGTGCAGGTGTTATCCAGCAAGAGTTTAGCAAAAGAGACTTTTAGTGAGTCTGCAAGTTCTTGGTGCTCATTTTGTGGCGTTGCACAGCAACCTATTCCTTCTCTGTGCCTCACATTCTCTCCCAGAAAAAAAAAGTTAAATGATGTAACTATATGTAATTTTATCCTTATTCATTTTTTATTTAACAGTAGTCAGTACTTTTATTATGAAAGTATTTCCACTATTGGAGCCCTTCTCTTAATGCTCAAAGACCCACAGTTCATCCTCCTAGCTGTGTCCTGTATTTGGAACAAGAGGATTTTGATTTTATTTTGTTTTTCTTAGTAGATATTGAAACTGTGTAGGGTAACATTGTGAGTATGCTTAAGTAAAGCATGAATTCATCAGATACAGTCCTCTGATCATAAGGGATGTGTCCTCACTTTAAAAATCCAGGAGCACTCTTTTGTTCTGATTATTTTAGCAATATGTGCTATACTACTGCAGAGTGCTCTACTATGTTCTATTTGTTCTTAACTGCTGAGTCCTCACGCTCCATGTTGGCTTTTTTTTCCCCTGTCATTTTCAATCGCATTGCTAAGCAGCCCTAAATATACATTGCTGCTAACTCTTCATTTGAGTTCATAGGCATCTCCTAATTAATCTTGACTTTGCATTGCCTCACCATCCTTGACTTAGCCTCCATGTTGCTGTACTGCAGTTTTGTGTCAAGTCCAGCCCTGCTCCTCCTCCCTTAGTCATCTCTGCACTATTTGTCCACAGTTCCCCTTTGAAGAGGGACAAAGACCCAGTCCAGGTTGGCGTTTAGGGTGATTCATATTCTGCCAGTCTATTTGGGAGGTGGGCAAGCAGCCACCCTGCTGCTGAAAGTGGCTTCGGGCTCTTACCCTTGATGCGGTGGCTTATGCTGTGGTGGTTTCATCTCTGCACCATTACAACTTTAAACCCTTCTTGAGCTGAGGTTGCTTGTATGCAAGATTGCCTGGCTTGTTAAAGGAGGTTTGGCCTGTCTGAGAGCAGCAAACTCCTTTCACCTAGACTCTGTAGCTCAGCTGAAGCCTGATTATTGAATAGCAAGTGGCGAGAGTTATTCACTGTTCACAGGAGTGTCAGACAGTGAAATCTTTGGCTGGCTTGAAAGCACTTCCATTTTTTTGCTGTCTTTTGAATGCAGAGCAATATTTCTTGAGTTATTTTTCTTAGGCAAAGCTGGAGGTTAATATTATCATATTGAAAGAGAGATGAGATTTGGAGGAGAAAAAAGATTCGCTGAGTGCTCAAGGGAGCATTTCCTCTCCAGTGCATATGAAAGAAAATATTTTTCCCTTTGTTCAACAACTTTCAGTTTTGTTTTGTTGAAGGGTGTTTTTTTCATCTGTAAGTTTAAATTGAATGTTGCGCTTAAGGCGATGAGCTGCAAAAGAGCAAAGATTGTGCATAAGTTAACTCTATTTTGTATTTTTCCTCTTTTCACTAAGTCTCATTCATAGCTGTTCTCGATACTTTTTCAGTCCATTACTTTCCAAAAAAGCTTAAAAGTAATGTTATTTTTGCATTTGTTCTGTGTCTGCTTTTATCAGATTTTAGTTAAATATTCCAGGCTTTAGACTTTTAGAAAGTAATTTTGTGATTTGCATTCAAAATTTAGATCTTGAGGCAACCACTTCAGCTAAGATTACACAAGCACCTCAGATGTTAAGTGCTCTTTCACATACTTCTAGTTTTCCAGAGTAGTCACTTTTGGAGGTTAAATCCTGTATAACTACTCTCTTCCTCAAAGAATTTCTTAAAGAGGAGAAAATGCCTGACTGAAATCCCTTCTTATACTTGGAGTTAAAGTGGAGAAGCCTTAGGATTTTTTCTTATTTGTGCATCAATGTGTGTGTGCGTATGTACAGATTTGTGTGTGTGTATATATTCTCAAACACATACATGTTTACAGCTCATATAATACAAGGTTCTCTGATGGATTCAGTAGTGAATTTAGGTATAAGGACTCCTGCTGATAGTTTTCTATAAATTACATAACTGCGTAGTTTTTCTTCAAGGCCTACGTGCTCTCAGGAAGTGGTTCCCACGTGAGCAATGGATGGCCCCCACCGCTTCCATTTGCCAGAGTCCCCCTGGAGTCTAGTGCCTTGATTGTGAAGGAATTTTGCAAAACTCCTCAAGATGGAAAAGCTGCTCCAGGACAGGTTTACTTGGCTAGTCTTCATAGGGCAGCGTAGTTGAATGCCCCAACTCGATCACAGTATCATGGCGTAGTCCATGTGTGTAGCTTGACTGAGGGTCCACAGCAGAAAGGAGGAAGCTACTTGGAGTCTGGGTTTTCTTCCTAGTACTTGTATTGGCCTAATCCAATGTTCAGTAGTTCAGAGAGAAAGCAAGACACAGTAAAGAAAAGGAAGGGAGGAGGATGACCACATACAAGCCCACACTTCAGTTCTGTACACCTAATGCATCTAAACTTGCACGCTCTCCTAACAGCCCTTGTCTTTGCCGTAGCCCGAGCCAGACTCCAGGGTTAACGGCGCCTCTCCGTGTGCTTCGCCCCAGCATTCCGTGCTCGGCTACCCGCTGGATCAAGAGACCAGCTCACAGTTTCATCAGACAGGTAAGTGCTTTACTAAGCAGTTTCATTTGTGTCTTTTTAAGGGATTGATGCATAAATAAAATAGAACTGATCTTTCAAGTGCTAATGGGAATAAGCCTTTGTGCAGCTAGAGCTGTTAGTTACCCACTGTTGCAAGCAACCTCTTTATCAGAAAAATCCACGCAACTCTGAATTACGGATTTGTATCTAGAGAGTTCTGCATCCCATCCTTTTTTAATGAACAAATTTACTTCAGTTAATATATCGTTATGAAAGAGAGTCTCACATTTCATTAGGATGAAACAGCCAACAGCTGTCCTACATTGCGTGTATGCCACTAAGCATTCTATCACACAGAAGAAAAAAAATCTGGAAACATGTAAGAGAAGATTTCTGATGGCTTCCTAAAGCACTGCTGTGTATGCTGGTATTTTACCCCTTGAAGACTTCACATCTTTAGGAATTATTTAGGAACTTGTATACAGCCTCTGCACATTCTCTCTTGAAAGATATTTTAAATTTTCATTAGCCAAACTCATTAGTTCCATTGAGAATTAGCAGAAATAATGAACAGAAATTAGGGGATATTTACAAATTATATAATTGCCCATTCCTCCCTGTCTTTGCTTCCAGGCTTTTGTGTTATAGGTAAAAAATGATCTTTTTTTCTGTGAGAAACAGGAACAAATGTTCTCTTTTACACTGAAAAGTTTTAATTCTGCATTGGCATGTGGTTGGCATCTAGAAAAAAACCCACAGAACTACTTGACTCTGTTTTGATGCAGTGGCTAATAACACCATCAGGAAAGGATTTAGATATATTCCCTAACCATTCCATTGGCTAATTTCAAGTATTGCTTAAAAAAAGAAAGAAGGTGGCAAGGAGAATTTTAACACTATTGAAATAATTGCTATTGCATATGGAATAAAGACTGTCTAAATTTGGTAGGGTTCTTTTCCCCCCACCCCAAAAAATGAATAATGTATTCACTTTGGAAGCTATGTGACAAATTATTTGAAAATAGAACAGAATATTAATTTAGCAGCTATTAAATATAATTCCCTCATCTTGCTAAGCATGTATTTTAACTGTAAATTCATATATACTTGTGGGCAATTCCCTTTGGTTAAATCTTGGATGCGGTGGTTAAGCTTTAATAATGGAGAAATGACTTCAGCTGCAAATCAATAATTTAACTTCTACCTTCTCTCCCAGGGCTGACAATTACCAATGATAGTTGCTGCACATTAAGTTGCAGAGGCTTCAGGTAGTGCATTCGCTTGAAATTTAAAGGAGCATTTAGCTCCTTTGGGTGAGAGCTAAGGTTGGATGAGAATGCCTTTCAGGATGCCAGTGTCCTTTTTAGCTTTTCTCTTCTTGTTTTTAAATTCATTGCTCTTTTTGTTGTCATTCCTACAGATGATTTGCTAGCCCCTCCTCATGATACCAGTACAGATCTAACAGATGTTATGGAGCAAATCAACAGCACATTTCCAGCTTGCTGCTGTAAGTGTAACAAGAGCTGTCTGTGAGATTGTTATTGAATGTGAGGCTGACCTGTGAAGAAAATAAGTCATTCATAATATATTGACTAGTCAATTATGGGGATTTTTTGGCAGAGAGGTGAAGTAGAGACTTTGTTACTTGATTTGTATTATAAAAATGTATAGATACATATATATTTCAGCCTCAGCTCTTTTGCGTTAGCAAAACAATATTGAAACTTTATAGAAAATCTATTAAACTTCTTAAACAGTTCTTTACAATGAAATGAGTAACAATGACCATTTTAAAAAAGTGAAAGTGAGATGGAGATGTTTATGCCTGTTCCTTTAAGAAACATTTGGATAATACTGTGCTAAATTCTTTTTCCGAAATTCTTTGAAGCCTATTAAAATACTTTTCTTATCTTTTGCTCATCCATTGCTTGGCTGACTGTGAAGGGTTGCATTAGAGATGATGCACTTTTCACCTTTTGGGAAAACAAATTAGTATCCAGCACAAGAAGTTGTGTTTCAGCTGCTCCTTGAGGCTTTGAGCAAGTTCAGTTGTTCAGAGCCCTTTGCTTTACAAATTAAGGATTTGGGTCATCTCTCCTTCAAGTCAGTAGCTAGAGGAGCTACTCAGTACAAATCAAGATTTAGGTTGTTGGTGTATATATGTGCGTGTGTGTGTGTATACATTTTTATAATATATATTCTTTTAATCAGTAGAAAATGCAAACAAAGTGTCACTTTTGCTTTTGTTCCTCTATTGCATATGTAAGCAATATAACAGCTATTGGATATTTGGCCCACATGAATCTGACGAAAATGGGATAATCTTTTAACTCCTTTGATTCCTGTGTAAGGACCAACTTGATGATGCCTGCTCTCCCCAGGCTGCAAACATGGAGAGTGGAATATCCATGGCACGATAGCTCAAATGAGGCAGGAAGGACTGAAACTGAAAACCGTGGCCCCATAGCAAGCACATCTGAGCGTGTAAAAGGAGTCCTGCACTAAATAAAAGATGTCACAGTTCCAAATTTCATGGGACTTTACCTTTGTCACTCATATACCCTGCTGCAGGGTTCAAACCAGTGTGCACCACTCGTAGGTGTTAGTTACATCTGCCCTTGTTTGGCCCTGTGACAGTATCTCTCACTTGAGAGATTCCTTAGCACCATTTTTTTAAACCCACATCAGATTCACACGCTCACTATTTCCAAAGGCTGGAATGGGAACTATCAATCTGGCCTTCTCAACAGGAGGATGTTAAACCCCACTTTGAGTTTTGCTTGAGAAGGCCCTGACAGATCATCTAATCCATCATCTTGTCCTGTGGCCATGACACATCTGTCATTCCTGATGGGACAATTGCCTAACCTGTTCTGTAAGACTTCCAGTAATGCAGACCCCAGAGACTGACTAGGCAATATGCATTAAGTGCATCACCATATTCCTAGCCTTAAAAAATGATATCCTCCTTAAACATAAAGTAAGTAGTATTAGAACAGCTTCCTTGTTTTACATATTATGTCCATTATAAAAAAAAAAAAAAAAAGGAAAGAAAGAAAAGGTATTGTTTTACATCCTCATTACTGTTCTTTCCTACCTTGGCTACAGCTTTTAACTACAGCTTTTATTAAAGAAAGTTATTAGGGTCAGAACATTAGATTATTTCTGCCCCATGCTGACTTTTAACAATGCCACTCTTCTTTTATATGCTGTTTGTTTTAATAGCCTTTCAAGATATAATTCATCTTGAAATCAATATTTCTACTTATTCCAAATGTTCCTTATGAAGCAATTTTTCATAGTTAGGCCAGCACTGCTCTTAATCCCTTTTTTTTTGTCCTATGATTCTTTGGATATAATACTTCTTTCTCTCCCTGCTCATGAGGTTGCTCCTGAGGACTAGGCAGGTGTGCAACAACGTGCAGAATTCTTGCCTTTGTGACCAAGTGAGTTCCAGAACAGAGCACACATCTTGGAGCTTTCTGAGATTTAGACAGATAGAAAATTTCAGTATTAATATAACTCTCTGTCTGTCTTACTCCCCTTGCTCTGCTTGGGGACAGTTACAGTCTCTGTGACATGTAAGATGAAACATCGTTAGAGGGTGAGCTAATGCCTGTCATTTCCAGAGGAGTTCCAATTCAAGAGTGCAGTTAGTGTTTAATATGTAATTCCCATTCCTTCAATTAATGACATAAGGAGCCTTGCAGCAAAAACAAGGGTAGCTGCAGCTTCCAAAAAATAAAACCTGGTGGAAGCAGAGTCCCCCAGGGAAGGCCGTCTGTAGTGCAGTATTGCAGCCCAAAATTAATCTGTTGGGGAAGCTTTGTGTCTTTTAATGATATTAATGTGTCCTTGGGACCATGATAAAGGTCCACTGTCCTCTGCAGACAAGATGCTTTTGACCTTTTTCAATACTAATGAATACTTTTCCTGCTTAGCTGTAAGGGGGAAAAGTTAACAACTCTGGAGAAGAAGGAAAAAAAAAAAAAAAGGCAAGAGTTCTTTCTGCTAGTAAAGAAACCTTTCAAAAGCAGATTAAAAATATCCAGTTGATTGAACGGAGGAGAAATGCTTCCTTGTGTGCTGCCAGAATTTTCATTGCTTTTGTCTCCTGCACTAAAGGGAGTCCAGTGCAGTGGAAGATTTGGCTAGTCAAGACTATTGGCAATGGTCTTTTTGCAGGGGAGTTGTTGGACTAGATGACCTGCAAGGGCCAACATTTCTGTGCTCTGTGAATCAACTTCCCTCACACAAATTGAGACTCACAATAGAAGACTTCTTGTGACTGGTGTAATTCCACGCCAATCTTCCTAACATGGTGATAGATATTAGAAATACTGCCTGCCAGTTACCATGTATGCTCCCGTGTACATGCTGTTCAGCACTGTCTGGTCCTTTTGACTTCACAGAAATTTCAGGATTCATGAGCTGCTCTTGACAGCTTTGGTTCTAATAATAATATTACAATCTCTTAACTTAGAGTGTCTAAGTAGCTATTGCTATAACATCCAAGATCTCACTGGCTATCAGTATTCAACACTTCTGAAAGAGAGGGGGATGAGAGCATTTTCACCTGGATCTCTGGTTATCTAGTGTAGGAAAAAAAACAACAAGGACTAGGAGATTTTCACTGCCAAGAAGAATAGGGAGGAACGGAGAAGACCCTCATTACGGTATCTCTAACTCAGGCCGTGGGCATGTCTGATTGATACCATGAATTCTGAATTTCTTTGAAGAGTGACATCTTTAAGAAAGTTTACAGCCTAATGGTTAAGAGCCTATCCCAAGAGTTTAGAAATGTAGTTTTGAATTCTCCTAGGCAAAAGAATCCAGCTCTACTAGGCCTGAGTACATTCAGCGTTGGCTGTGGTCTGAAAAGTCAATGGGCTAGTTGTAAAAGATGCTCAAAGTAACATAGAAAATTTGCTGTGCATATTCTGTGCTGATATTCCCTGTGCTCTGACTTCTGTCTTCTGAAGAGAATGTCAGGAGGAGAGAGTTGCTGCAGGCTTCACTGGACATTTCTGTGAAGTGCATTAAAAGAAATTAGAATGGAAAAGTGACATGAAACTATGCAATTTCCCCTGTCTTAACTGATGAATCATGCTTAAATAAATAAGGAAGCAATTTGCAAACCTGATGCAATGGAAGAAATGGGGGAGAGAGTAACTAGTTCATGTTAAATTTTAAGTTAACTTTTTGATTGCCTCATGTTCTTTCTCTTTTTATGCTGCAGTCCTGTACTCCTCCATGCATTTCTTATCTTAAATTGTGAACTAAATTAATTAGGCAGGCCTACTTCCTTTGTGAATGTAAAGAGTCTAAATGCTGTGGATAGTATTGCTCAATAATATAATATTATTTAATAACATACCAAGCTAAAATATGATTCATATTTTTGAATAGAATGTATTATAGTGTAGTCCTGATAGCTCTTCAAGTGATGAAAAATGAACGATGCATTAATTCTATATTCGTAATGCTATATTTTTGTTGTAAAAAATAAATTCATGAAGGAAGTTATGTACAGACCATTACAATACTCTTCTAGTTAAATGTTTCTTTTTTCAGATTCAATGTCTTCTTATTCTTCTGCAGCACTGGTTGTTTTGACACTTTGTTCTTAAGCTAACAGGATACAGAATTGTGCAAATTTTAAAACTTTCCTTTTTTTTTTTCTATTTGCAGCAAGTTTCCCTGGCAGATCACAGGTATGAGACGTGTTTACATCTTTGTATAGTCTTTAAAGGCAAAGTAAAGCAAGTGGAAATGTTCCGTTAGAGCAGAGTGACCAGTTTTTGTCTGTGTTGTTTTTCCCTTGCCAACTATTTAGAAGCTGGATCAATATTACAGTTTCTAGATTATCCCAGCTAATAGGAAACTCCTGCTACTGTAATTGAAGGTAGTGTGGTGTGCAGTTCTGGGATGCTGACCATAAGGAATCAGCTCAAAGTCATCCAATTAGTTGAAATCCAGCATCATTTCTGCAAGATCTAAGCTGGTTTTTACAAATAAATCTGTATGTTCCTGTGGCCAGACCCACAGCTCAGATTCCAGGAGGATCTATGGCTGAAGAGCAGCACAGTACCCCCAAGGCATTAGATTAAGCTGCTACCAATAAGCAACCACTAGGTACAGACCTAAAGGATAAATCTGCCTAGTCCTAGAGTGTGCAAAAACATGGCAATCAGTAGGGTATTTAGATACTGTTGAATTACCGAAAACCTACTTGCTATGAATGGTCTGATAAATTTCTGTTATAAGTAAGTAGCAGAAATAGGAGAAATGCAGGCTGCCAGCTTTGTGCTCATGTTAGAATAAATGTGTTTGCATTATGAGAAATAAGGAATAACAGTCTCGTGTCCCTGCATAGCTCTGTCAAAGTTTTATTGTTAAAATAGTCTTAGCAGCAAGCACAAGTTGCTGTCCAAGGCTTCAGAAGAAGGCAGTAGTAGAGTCCATTTATTTAATCCCCCCAGTTGCTTCACCATGTCAATTAAGCCACAGTTTGCAAGGTCAGGCTTCTCTGAAATGAGTGTCTGAAAACAGAGAATTGTTACTTTAAACTTTTACTTGGATTGTATTATCTGGGATTGTAGGATTGCCCTCCTAGGCAGGAGTTTCTAAAGGGTACGAGATGCCCTTTATTCCCTGCACTCAGATTTGTTTTTTAGTCCCTTGAGAAGTTGAATCAGAAGGATTTTTTTTTCCTCAAAAATCCTTTCTCTAAGCAGTCACAGAGATAGCTTTAAGGGCTATCTGTAAATAAAACTCATCCTCATGAAAAAGCATGATTGCTTGGGTATAGGATGATTCACAGATGACCTCATACCCCAAAACTACCATTCCAGAACCATTACAGAAGGGATGTTTGTCTTTTTGCAGAGAACAGAATCCTGAAACAGGAGTCTGGAAATAAGCATGGCATTTTAAGGACCTGCATCTGAATTCAGGCTACGTACACTCGGCATTTTTATCACTTAGGCTAAATATGTTCCTATCTGACTTCCGAGTCTTAGTTTTTATGGGTGTAGAAATCCTACAAGTTGCAAGTATAATTCTGCAGCCATCACATCCTTGGGTCTCCATAAAGAAGAATTTTAAATGCTACAGTACAGTAGATTCAGGGTTCTGCAAAATTACATTTCTCGGTGATTTGCTAAATTTTGCACCAAATTTTTGGACCAAGTCTTTTAAAATAGGCTGTTTGGAAACTTATGTCAGAGTCCTTAAATGACCCAGTGAGTTCTGAGCACGTAGCTCTGTGGAGAGGACTGTGGATGTTCCTGTTGTGCTGACGTGGTTATGTCGTCTCCTCATTAATCCCAGGCAATGTGAAGTGTTCCTTTGGACAGCACCCCGTGCTTCCTAACGTGCAGCACAGCCCTTTTCTACAACGCACCCATCGCAAGTTCCGCTTCATCAGAGGCTGCATGGGACCTTGGAACATGCTGCTCAGCTTTGACTGCGTGTTCTACTTGAAACAGTAAAACACTGAACACCCAAAGATGAGGATGTTGTTTTTATAGCATTATTTTCTTCTTTCTTCTTCTTCTTCCCTTTCTATGCAACTGTAAATTAATGAGCAGTGGAGTATTTGTCACTGATTTGTATAAATATACAGCCGCGGGAAAAGGGGCAAGGGCTTTATATACGTTCTTTTGATAATCGTAAAGAGATCTGCATAAGGAGTTTGGAGCAAAATGTTACATATAAACATTCCTTTCAGCTCTTTGCTTTTACGTTGTAAAATACCCTCAGTTACCTTCTGGCACATTTAATATTCTATACTGATTATTTATATGTTAAACATCTAACTACACAGATTTCTGAAGGCTCTTGAATTGTTTTCAGGATTGGCAAATGAAGTTCCCGTAACTTGCAGTATTCTTGCTGTTCAACAAAAGTTGCCATTGGGTGAAAGCTACAGTATTTTAACTAACTCAATTAAAAAAAAAAAGGTAACCCTGCATTTCAGGTCATAATAATCATCATGCACCAAAATGGTATTTTTAGATTCTTTTAGTTGTTTCCACCCAACACACTCCATTTGGAGGATTATTTTTTAAGCCTTACTTTACTTTGAATCTGAAGATAGCTAAAATGAGGACTTAGATGGTAGCTTAAGTTGTTTTTAGTGAGGTCTAAGTTAGTGTAATATCTTCCCTAACTCTATTGAGCAACAAAGTTTTGCTGTTCTCTGCTGTGCCAACCTTGTTTCAAGTTTTGGAGTTAACAGTCTGAAGTTAAGCTCATTTCCATAAGCTCCCCTGCTGATGATCCCAACACACTCTGTTCTCGTCTGCTTCTTGGAGAGAGAAGACGATTAGGAAGCCCTTTCCAATACTATTAGTGATGGAATATTTTCTTCAAAACACTGCAGTGCACTTAGATACCATCATCTGGCCTTGTAATCTCACAGCTCATCTTTGTCTTTGATGAATTCATTTATTTACATGCTTTGAGTAGGGATAATTATGGAAACGTAGTGTCACTGATCATCTGATCTCTAATTTTAAAATTATCATGAGAGATTTTAAGGCCTTCACTGAGTTTACAACATTGCATGGACCCTTGCTTTAATTTCAGGACATAATTTTAGCTGGTAAATCTGCATGCAATATATTTCACACATAGTGGAGAGGAACTAAACCATGTTCTTAATGATTACAGAAGAAACGTCTCAAAAGAGTGTTGAAAGAGTTAGAACTTCTGTAGTGCTACAGCAAGGCGCTAGAGGAGGCACAGAAGGTCAGCAGTTTTGACTATTTTAGCCCAGTGGCGTCAGCAGCGTTGTCCAGCCTGCACAGCTCCTCCTGGGGGGCAGCTGCTGCTCTGGGAAGGGCTTGGGAGCTGGCATGGAGCATGGAGCTGGCTCCAGCGCCAGTTCCCTCTCGACCCTTGGGCACATTATTTAACCACTTGGCCTCCGCTCTCCCAGCTGTAACAGGGGGGTGATAGTAGTAACCTCTCAGAGGGGCTGAAGGGCCCAATTAGTATCTGAAAAGCTCTAAGCAAAAGCTAAATATGATTTCCAAGCAGGTGGAACAAGACTGGCAAAGTGGGGAGAGAAGAGACTGGCTACTATAAAGCCTTCATCTAGTAAAGAGATAGTGTAATTATTTTGAAAAGAAAAAAATATTTTACAGAAGAGGAAAGCCATGACCACCTTTCTACCTCAGACCTGTCTTCATGAGTAGTATTGGAAATAGCTTTATACTCTGTTCTCTGCAACATACTTTGCTTTTATCAAGCTCTGAGCAAAGAATCCTTAAAAATGAACCCCCTACATAAGTAAAGGTCTCAGTAGTCAATTTGGTGGCTTTTATTTTTGTTCTGAATATAAGGTTATGTATAAAGTTGTTTTTCTGCCTGTGTTTGTATGCACCCTTTGTCCTCTGCTGCCAAGTAAATGCTATTTCAAACACTACATTGTAACATCCTTCCTATGAGACAATAATAAATAAAAGAAATATATTGCAGTAACATGAGAAAAAGTATGGAGTTCTTTCACATTTTTTAGTCTTCAAGGATGGCACTTCTCCTTTGTAACATGCTCTAAGGTTCGTTCTGAAGGAAATTAATTTTAAGTAGGTCCACTGGGGGAGTCTAGACTTAGACTGTCTCTACAGGTTCATCTTTTGGACTGTGGTATACATTTATATAAATGAGGTTAAGCAGTATTTTCGATCGTATTATTTGCAGACTTTCATCTTCGGTGAAACAGTCTGGAATCCTCAGCTGCGTGGCAGATTCTAAATTTGATCAGCTGAGCAAGGAAAGTAATAAATAGACACAAAATAAAAAAGCAATAATACCTGAATCACTCTCAAATTTTAGAACTGTAAGTTAGTCTTCAAGTCTCAGTGACATTCTACCTTATTCTGTCTAGAAAATGCTTATTTTTAGTCCTGTAGTATATTATCATATTCTAAGTAAGTATGGCATTAGACTTGTTTTAATGAACAAATTAGACCTGCTGTGCTTGAAGGAAAATAATCTGCACCCCTAACACTTTTAGTTGTTTTCTTCTAAAAGAAGCTGGCACTGCTCTTACATTTAGTATCTATTAACAGAGATTCCACTTTTTAAAAAATTCTAATCAATGCAAAATGTCAATGTTGGAAAGTACTGCCATATTCTTCAGCTTGTAAAAGAAGATGTAATTTATAGGGGAGTGTAGAAATAATTTGTAGAGGAGTTCAGTTTGCTAACATGGCATTTGATTCAGCTCTTTACTAAGGAGTTGGATTACAGAAAAAGCAATATTGACTTAATTTTGCATTTTGAATAATAATTCAAAGTGTATGTCAAAGAACAAAATTCTACCATTTTAAAGATATTAAGGGACAAAATCTTGAAGAGAATAATTTATATTTCAAGTGCATATATTTGTAGAGTTGAATGCAGCAGGAGAGGAGTGCAGATCAGTGCCATGTATGTTTGGAAAATAATTTCTGCAGGGCTAAGTGCCTAGACCTACAGCTGGTACCCTCAGCCCCCTGATCGCTGGTGCAGGAAGGAGCAGAGCTCTGTAAAGCTTCCACGTGGCAGGAGGGGTCAGCAACAGCCACAGCCCTGCAAGGCCTTCCTCCAGCACTCTTCCTCAGAGGGGATGGAAAGCAGGGAGCAGATAATACAGCCTTCTCACCTATTAATAAAAATACAGGAAATTTAATACTGTTATCTATTTAGATTGAGCTCACAGTAAATAATAAAAGTGGGTGTTTTTAATGATGAGCTGTGCTAACAACTGGAATTTAAGCAAGATAAGGCAACACTGGTCCTTCCTTCTCTAAAGAGACAAAACTCTTCCTGCCCAGCAATACAAGAATACAAGTCTGACCATCACCCTTGAGCAGCATGGTATGATTTAAGGCATGTGGAAGATGGAGCTTTAGAGTAATATCCCTTCCTTCTCAAGGAACCAATTTTATCTCATTTACCATGCAATAGAGCTATTACCTTTATTGGCTTCTTTCAAGAAATTACTTAAGCCCTGTTTTTCCTCACAGTTGGATTACATGCTTGTATTAGAAAACCCTCTATTCTTTCCCTTATAGTAGGGGAGGGACACATCTTTCCTGTTATTTCAAGGATAAGCCCAGCTTTATTATCTTTTCTAGATGTCCTCAGTGCAGAAAACACTCATTTGTTTACTGTAAGAGAAACATTACAAAAGGAATTTCAATATGCTTAGCTATTTTCTAAAGTTGTATGTGCTTCCGTGCTTGCCTTTACCTTGCCTAACCAGCTCTATTGCCTTTGCAGGGAAGTGCTGTGGCAAGTTGGCCTGGTGACAGATGATGAAGTGGGGAATGGTCAGCTTTCCTCAGCTGTGTGCAACTGCAAGAGCTTTATACCACAGATTTTATTGGGCAGAGTAAAACAAACATGACATTTTTAAGAGAAGAATTAAGTTTCTGCAGTAATCGGTTCATAGGCCAAAGTGCACATTTATCAGGCCAGTCAGGATAGATACCCCATCCCACACTCCAGTGCCGATGAGGTTGTTGATACCATGTTTGTTTAAATCAGTTCTACAAAGAAGCCTTATGAGCCAAAATATTACCAGATTGCTTCATTTCTTGGAGAAGTTAAAAAGATCAATGCAGCAAATTAAAATCAGTGCAAAAGTTCCTCTACCTTTGGAAAATTGCCTGCCCGTGAACTTCCAGAATGAGGAAGGTGTTCTTGGGTCAGAAGGATCCTTTTTTGGACAAAAGGGAAAGGGAAAAGGAAAGGGAACAAGGGAAAAAGAAACAAAAAAGAGCTCTTCAACTGTTTAGATCTCACATAGAGATATCTAAACTGCAAGACACTAATTGCATTGGGTCAGAGTTCCTGGACCCAAACAAACTATGTGTGCACAGTAGATTGCCTGTCTCCCAAGTGTCCTGCCCTCGTATTTTTACAGTTCAGAAACAGTTGAATTCTAGATGTTCTGCAACAAGCAAGCTTTGGGACTGTACAGAAGACCAAATATGATTAAGTTTTACAGAATAAAACTACCTGTTAGAGATTTTTGGTGGTTGTGTGTCTGTCTTCTCTATTGAAGAGAGAGATTCCTAAAAGGAGGTAAGGGATGAAGTGTTTCTGAATGCTCAGTTTTGCAGAGGTGAGAATTTTTACAATCAATCAGGCCTGTCTATTCTGCAGAAATGAAGATATCATACCATATGACTGAGAACTCTATTCCCAGCAGCAGCAAAAATGTCATCTTACAAATCCAGACAAGGCATAAGCAACCTTCCCCCTACCCCTTCTCTCCCCTCTATAGGCGGGCTTTAGAGCAGGAAAAGATCAGGTCCATTTCACAAACACCCAAAAGAGGAACAGAAAGTATGTGTCTTGTATATAGATGCATACACAGAACACACACACCAGCAGGATCAGTCTCATCTGGTTGAGATCTTTGATGTATGCATTTCCAGATGAACTAGGCGTGCTCTTATTAGCCATTCTCTTTATACAGTCAGGTGAGCACTCTGAATATGCCTTCTTGCCTGACCTCTAACACCTAGTGTTTGCCTTAGAGAAAATATATTTCAGCAATGTTCATTTCCTGACTACATAAAGAAAGACTAGGATGACTAGCTCAAAGGCAGATGTCCGCAGCATACAAATCCAATTTGTACAGACAAATCCCTCCTTAGAAGTCCAGTAATGAAGAGTGATAGGGAATCCAAAAAGGTTTCACAATTTCATGTCACCTAGAGTAAGTTGATAAAATAATGATAAAAAATACCAATACTGCAGTAACTTCATGTGTATATGGTATTCCTTTTATCCTCATAGTAACTGATACCTTTTAACTATGATTTAAATAATCTGGACAAGTTAGTGAAAAAACAGGAGAGTAAATAGCATCCATTACCAACAGATTAAGGGCCTCATAGGATAGATTTATTGAACTTGAGGGGAAAAAAAA